CCCCCGGCCGAAGGGCGATACGTGACAGGCATTCACCGGGCTCCCGGCGAGTCAGTTGACTTTGTTATTCAAACTATTTTAGTGATGGTTTTTAATCCTAGGCTTAAGTTTTTCTTTTTTTTCTTTTCTTTTTTTTTTTTTTTTTTCTCTCCCTTTCTTTCTCTCTCTCTCTGAACAAGGGAATCTCTACGCTGGCAGGATTCAGAGAGGCACAAAGGAGGGAAAAACAAGTTTCAGCCAGAAGAGAAAATAAAAAAAAAAAAAAAAAAGGATGCTGTTAGCATTCCCTGTATGTGAGGGGGGGGGGTAAAAACATTTTGCTGTGAACTTTATTTGAAAGGGTAAGAGCCAACAGCAGCCCAGTCACTATGCAAATAAATCCTGCGCTCGGCCTTTCCCTCTCAGCCGTTAAGTTTTGGCGCTGGGGCTCGTTAGCTGTGGGAGCTGGGCTGCCCCCACTACCCCCAGCATTCCCTCCTGGGGATGGCCACCGGCTGGGGGGGTGCCACTGTAGAGCCCTGGACACCAATGGGAGCTTGTGGGGCTCCCCAAGTGTCTCAGCCAGATAAGACGGGGTGAGCACTGCAGAGATGTGGGCTCGGTGCCCCCCTGCCCCTTATCACCAGCAGATTTGGGTGGCTGCTGGCAGCACAGCCCTTAGAGGTGCCCCCATGAGAGGGGACACCCCAGGACAAGGCAGGGGCTGGAAAGGGCAGAAATCTCACCTGAGCCATCCCCTTCCCATGGTGGGCAGGTGGGGAGGGTCCAGCCACCAAGCTCCACAGGCAGCCTGGGCACGGGGCTGGCTCTGGGCTGGGAAGGGAGGCGATGACAGGCTGCCCCATGGCACATCCAGGCCACGGCCAGGCCCCCAGCACCGGCACTTAACGGTGATGGTTCCCCATGAGAGCAGACAGGGCTGCACGTGCTCCAGCCCACACAAGCCAAAGCTCACCCTGACAGCCCCGGTGTGATGGTTTCCTAAGAAAAAATAAAAAAAAAAAAAAAAGATTTGAATCTGTGATGCAAATGACTGGGCATGTGGGCACAGCTGCTGGGAGGTGGCCTGGACCAGGTGATGTGCCCAGGGCAAAGTCCGGACCCCGTGGCTGCTCCCAACCCCAGGAACCTGTGCCATGCAGGGGGCTGCCCTGCCAAAACCATCCAAGCCCTCACTGTGCCCCTGGGTCTGTGTGGTGCCACACCAGAGCTCTTGCTATGGCACCATGACTCCCCAGCCTGTGCCCACCCCCAGCTCCCGTCTGCCCGGAGCAGAGCTGAGCTGCTCAGTGAGATCACTTTGTCCCAGGACAACATAAGGCACATGATGCAGGTGAAAGAGGATGCTCCGTCAAGCAATGTGTACAAAAAAAGAAAAAATAATAATTATGTTTTTAAGCAATTGCTCTGTGCTACTCTGACCAGCCAGGAGCCAGGCAGCCACTGCCTCCCATCTGCACCCCGCTGCTCACACACTGAGTTCAACTCTTATCCCTCCAACAGACAACCCCTTGGGCTCATCCCACTTTCCCAGCCTAGTTCCTGGGCCAAGGAACTGCTTGGGCTCCTTGTTTGGGGGCCACAGGCTTCCCTCAGCACCTGCCCTCCTAAAACCCACTTCCACCAGAGAGGCTGGACAGCTTCTATTTATTATTAATCATTATTATCCTGCCCGGCCACAATTTCACAGTTGTGTTTTCGCAACCAGGAAGGCAGCAGGTCGGGCTGTTGTTTTGATGTGGTTGTTTCTCAAAAATGAGCCTGGAGCAAAATGGAGCGGGATGCAGGAATGGCGCTCGGCAGCGATGGGCTGGGTGCCGGGCGGAGAAAAAAAAAAAAAAAAAAGGATGCTGTTAGCATTCCCTGTATGTGAGGGGGGGGGGTAAAAACATTTTGCTGTGAACTTTATTTGAAAGGGTAAGAGCCAACAGCAGCCCAGTCACTATGCAAATAAATCCTGCGCTCGGCCTTTCCCTCTCAGCCGTTAAGTTTTGGCGCTGGGGCTCGTTAGCTGTGGGAGCTGGGCTGCGGGGGCTGGCAGTGCCCCCACTACCCCCAGCATTCCCTCCTGGGGATGGCCACCGGCTGGGGGGGTGCCACTGTAGAGCCCTGGACACCAATGGGAGCTTGTGGGGCTCCCCAAGTGTCTCAGCCAGATAAGACGGGGTGAGCACTGCAGAGATGTGGGCTCGGTGCCCCCCTGCCCCTTATCACCAGCAGATTTGGGTGGCTGCTGGCAGCACAGCCCTTAGAGGTGCCCCCATGAGAGGGGACACCCCAGGACAAGGCAGGGGCTGGAAAGGGCAGAAATCTCACCTGAGCCATCCCCTTCCCATGGTGGGCAGGTGGGGAGGGTCCAGCCACCAAGCTCCACAGGCAGCCTGGGCACGGGGCTGGCTCTGGGCTGGGAAGGGAGGCGATGAGAAGCTGCCCCATGGCACATCCAGGCCACGGCCAGGCCCCCAGCACCGGCACTTAACGGTGATGGTTCCCCATGAGAGCAGACAGGGCTGCACGTGCTCCAGCCCACACAAGCCAAAGCTCACCCTGACAGTCCCGGTGTGATGGTTTCCTAAGAAAAAATAAAAAAAAAAAAAAAAGATTTGAATCTGTGATGCAAATGACTGGGCATGTGGGCACAGCTGCTGGGAGGTGGCCTGGACCAGGTGATGTGCCCAGGGCAAAGTCCGGACCCCGTGGCTGCTCCCAACCCCAGGAACCTGTGCCATGCAGGGGGCTGCCCTGCCAAAACCATCCAAGCCCTCACTGTGCCCCTGGGTCTGTGTGGTGCCACACCAGAGCTCTTGCTATGGCACCATGACTCCCCAGCCTGTGCCCACCCCCAGCTCCCGTCTGCCCGGAGCAGAGCTGAGCTGCTCAGTGAGATCACTTTGTCCCAGGACAACATAAGGCACATGATGCAGGTGAAAGAGGATGCTCCGTCAAGCAATGTGTACAAAAAAAGAAAAAATAATAATTATGTTTTTAAGCAATTGCTCTGTGCTACTCTGACCAGCCAGGAGCCAGGCAGCCACTGCCTCCCATCTGCACCCCGCTGCTCACACACTGAGTTCAACTCTTATCCCTCCAACAGACAACCCCTTGGGCTCATCCCACTTTCCCAGCCTAGTTCCTGGGCCAAGGAACTGCTTGGGCTCCTTGTTTGGGGGCCACAGGCTTCCCTCAGCACCTGCCCTCCTAAAACCCACTTCCACCAGAGAGGCTGGACAGCTTCTATTTATTATTAATCATTATTATCCTGCCCGGCCACAATTTCACAGTTGTGTTTTCGCAACCAGGAAGGCAGCAGGTCGGGCTGTTGTTTTGATGTGGTTGTTTCTCAAAAATGAGCCTGGAGCAAAATGGAGCGGGATGCAGGAATGGCGCTCGGCAGCGATGGGCTGGGTGCCGGGCGGAGGAGGCCGCTCAGCGCCGCCTGCACCCTCGCTTCCCGGCAGCTTTGGCCACTTTTCAGGAACTTAGAGTCAGCTAAATGGAAAAGCATCACTCTTTTCACTTTAAAACGCGCCAGACATTTGGGGTTTGGTTTGTTGGTTTGGTTTTTTTTTCAGTGACAAATTAATCTTTGGAGGCCTCGGTCTTCCTGTGGACCTGGGGAGACACAGGTCCTGGGTGAAGGCACAGGCCGAGGTCCATCAGTGCGGGAGGACAGGCAGGAGCACTGCCTGGGGACGGGCACCACAGCATTCCCGGAACCCTCACCCGCCTCCAAAATCCTCCCCTCTCTCCCTCCTCCTCGGAAAGACTCTTGACAGGGAGAAAGAAGAATTGCTGAATAATCTCCAGCCCCGATAGTACTTCAAAGGCAGGTTCCTCGGGCCAGGCTGTGCTCCAGGGCTGGGCTGGATGCGGCGCTCAGCTCTTACTCCTTTGGCAGCCCCACAGCCATATCCAGAAACTAATTACTTAAAAAGGAAATAAATGTCACCCGCACGGTTGTAAGCAAAACCCTGGGCAGGACAAAGAGCCCCACCAGGACCTGCATTCTCACGCAATATAAGCAAGGAAGGAATGAGCTGTTTCCATTCATTGAGATGGGCTGTTTACTCTGGGGCCTACTGATGACGTTAGATGTGCCCACTGTGTGCCTTTCAGTTCATCCATTGATGAGACACAGCACTGAACCCCTCTGCTTCCATCCTACTGCCCCCAAGGATGGCTTTAACCATCATCACCACCTTCTGAACAGCACTGTACATTGGTACCAAAGGGGCTTCCTGGCTGTAACCTTCACAGAGATGAACTAGATAATTAGCACATGCAAATAGGATATTTTTATTCACTTTTAAAAGCTGATATTCACAGTTTGTAATGGTCGAAATCTGAGAACCAAATTTCTAAAGCAAATCAGTGAGGGAAAGTCCTATGCGGCCGAGTAAAGCAAAGGAGGCTCAGGGGTGACTCACCACTGCCTGCTGGATCCGAGATCCCTTAACTGGGACAGGGCTTTAGCAGACCATTCGCTTTTGGATGGATTCAATTTAGGAAAAAACACTTATTCTAAGCAAATAGCAGAAGGACAGAGATATCCTGAGGATTCTGGGGTAAGATCTGAGATCTCAAGCGTCCCCGTTTCCACCGTAGCACTTTATACCCCCTGCTCTGCACAGCCTGGGTGTGAGCAAGTGCCCGGTGCTGGGCACAAGCACTGGGGACCACACAGCTCTGGTGTGATGCTCCAGGGGCTCAAAAACCCCAAGGTGCCAAGAGCTATGGATGACTCGGGACGTGCAGAGCGAGTAACAGTGCCTGGGACATGCTGGAAGGGAGGGCTGTGCCCACACAACGCCCGTGCGAGGCAGAGCTGGGTGAGGATGGCAGCAGGGGCTCCTGCTGCTGCACCCCAGGACACACGTCCCCACTGCTCCCACCCCCCAGCACGCTCACGGGGGAAGCCCAAGTGCAGCCAGATCTGGCCAATTTGAAAGTACTCCCTACTGGACTCCAGCCGAGCAAACACGGTACCATACAGTATCGAATAATTTTAAAAGTTAAAATAGTTTATTGCTGTTCTTTGTAGAAATGCACTTAACTTACATCATCTGTTCTCGTCCTTTATTTGGCTGTTGGATTATAGGCATAAAAAGGTTACGTTTACCCATTTGTTCAGTGACATAACACCTTTGTCTCTTTTGTTCCACTCACGATATTCTCCTAAGCTTCGCTGGCCAACAGCCCCAAATCTCTTTTACATAAATACTGTAAATGTCTCCATAGGTTGCAGCATCGTAACAAAAGATCTACCAAAGTAGACAAAATGTTCGGTATTCTTGGTTGGTTTTTTGCATTTAAAAATATACCTAAATTTGAGATAATCTTAACAGAGTAACAATTACAATAAGAAAATAGTACAGTGCGTTGACTAAAGGAATATTCTGCTCTCCTTCAAGCCAATATTCCCTTTTGCATGTTGAAGTGATTCAGCAATTACTTAAGAACTTTTACCTACATACAATAATTTAGTAAAATGAGAATTAAACAAGGCAGATACTTACTACTATTCTTCCGTCTGCAATTCACAGCTCATGCGAATAAAATCGCAATAAATATTAAAAAATAGTTTTTCTTTTTCTTTTTTTTTTTTTCTGTAAGGCATCTCTGAGTATTACAAAGTTTTTGTACAACCAAAAAATAAGATTGCTTTTTTCCATGTTCTCCGAGTACCTCTGTACCTCAACAGTAATTAAGAGGAGTGCAGGTTTGATGAGGAGGGGAGGGCTGACAGGGGAGGGCCGGAAAGACGACCGACGGGTGATGGAAGCAGACCGCGATGTGTGCAAGAATCTGTAGTTTTCCCGTGAAACATTTCAGTCACTTCTAGAACATCTTCAAGACAAAATCTGTCCAGATTGAGAAAAAAAAAAAAAATAAAAACCACCAACTTACCAGAAGTCCATTTTCATGAGCACAGTCAGACTGCAAGGGTTTGGGTTCGCCCTTAACACTATAAATAGCTTAGGTATTGATATGCACCTACGTAAAGGGGATAAAAGGGTGGGGTGAGTATTTTTTTTTCCTTTTTTTTTTTGTTTTGTGTTTTTTTTTTTTCTTTATTGGTTTGGTTTTTTTGTTGCTTTTGCTGTCCTAGTCATATCCTTCCACTGTAAAAGATTGTCCTAGGTGGGTGGCGAAGGCGTGGGCAGAGCCCTCACTGCATGCGGTCGGGCTGCAGCTGCTGGGGCTGGTACTGCACGAAGGCGGTGGCGGGCGCCGCGGGGTTGCTGGCGGTGATGGGGGGCTGGACTGCCCCCGTGTAGCCATATCCCACGAATCCGGCAGCGGGGGAGGCAGCGTAGGGGTACTGGTCATAGGCAGCGGTGGTGTACTGGGAATAGGCTTGGCTGGCGGCGGTGTAGTCGATGTAGGGAGAGGTGATGGACTGCACAGGGGTAGGGATGACCACGCTGGGCTGGATGATGGCTTGGGGGTAAACATAGTGAGGCGTGAGTCTGTGGAGGCAAAGGGAGAGAGTCAGCGAGGGGCTGGGGTCCCTCCTTGTGTCCCCCCCTTCAGATTCATGTGCATCAGCCAGAGAAACGGTGCTGCCCTCCAGGCATGGCGCTGCTTGGGGTGGAGGGAACAAAAAGCAAACCACTCCTAGACCCCAAGGGTGGAAGTAGTGCAAGGTGAAGCATGGACCGCAAGAACAGACACACACTCTGGTCTCCATGTCTTGTATCTCCCACTATCCAGGCTTCTGGTCCCCAAAATAACCTCCTTGAACAGCAGTGACACAGCCCCTGTCCAACAGGCTCGCCCTATCTCCCTGGCCCCCATGTGCCCTGCCTGTACTGGCAGCCTCGCTGTGTCCTGTATCTTCCAGGTCCACACTCCCCTACCACCCAAATCCTGGTAGAGGCTCCTGAGGACACACACCCCCCATGAGGTACCTCTGGCACCGGGGACACTGGGTCACTCCTCTGCTTGTCCCATCAGGGTAGTGTCCCACCACCACCAGGTGACCACTGTCCCCCACAAGGCCCTTCCAGTTTGTAAGCTGTTATCAGGTACTGCACATTTGAACCAGTGTTTCCATAACACTGGATGTTTAGGGCAATGCTACAGCGTGTTTGGTGTAAAACATGAGATATTAATCCTGGTTTTCTTCCTCCAAGTAACACTCCTCAGCAGTGACTGTGCCAGAAGCCCCTGGCCCGGCAGCGAGGCTCGTGTGACCACGAGCTCTGTGGCCAGGCGGCCCCAGCATGGCCTCTGCCCTTGTGAAGCAGGTCCTAAAGCATTGCTTTTCACCAGCCCCTGCCCCGAGGTAGCCGTGATGCTGAGAGGAATTTAACACCACCACAGTCAACTGAAGTCCACAGACTGAAAGATCCTGGAGATGATTAATGCAGGATTGCCCACTCATTTGCTAAAAACTGCTAATGAGGAAGAAAGAAAAACAACCCCAAAAAGCAGCAAAATGAAAGGTTGGATTTTCCAAAGTGCCCACAACAAGTCAGGACTCAAACAAGAGAAAAAACTGTGCAAACATGAAGGTTTAGGTCCATCCAAACTGCCACGGGCCATGGACACTTGCACATGCAACCACGGAGCACAACCAACATCTGCAGCCCAGCCCTCGGCAGCAGAGCTCCATCGTGTGAAGGCTTGGCAGATTTGGGGCTTCTTTGAGAAATTGGGGTGTGCAGACTGGCACCAGCCAAGGGCACATGGCCGCTGGAAGATCAGAGCCACGTGCACCAAGAAGCGGGCGCTGTGGGAAGGTCCCCTTTGGCCGGCTGCTGGTTGAACACGATGAACCAAAAGCCCCCCTCCAGAGAGTCCACCCTGCCCCAAAACACGATGCATTTCAGCAAACAAACAAACAAACAAAACCCAAGGTAAAACTCTGCAAAGAGCTTGTGCAGATTTAAATATTTTGGGGATTTCTGTGTGGATGTGTGTGACAGCACATTTTCAAACACAACCACTTTTAAAAGCCTCCCACAGGCTTTTCACAAGCCACAGGATTGTATGTGCCTGAACTGCTCTGCAACGCCAAGCTCAGCTGCTCGGGAAGAGGATGTCTTGCCCACTCGTCCACCTGATCTCCAGGTTGGAAACACCATCAGTGGGACCTGGTGCTCTGGTGCTTGACAAGGACCTGCAACCAGGGACTGGAAACTTCTGCTGGATGGGGGACTGGCTGCCCACATTCCACCCGAGCGTCCATCCTAGGTCTCAGCTACCACCTACACCATACTGGGGTCCACCTGGGGCTGGTTCCCCATAGCCAGCAGTTATGGGGTTGTTCCCGTTTGATTCACAACCAGCACTGGGTGGTTTAACCCACTCTTTGGGCAGGAGAAAGGCTTCTCTAAAACAAGTGCTCATCTGAAATGAGTTTTCTCTCTTCTTCTCACTCACATATGCACTTTGGTTTTTCTTGAGGCAATTTGCATGATGAGAGAACGATTGTTCTCCTCCCCCCAACAAAGTGCCTCTGCCTCCGAAACCAGGGTCCTCAGACAGAACAAGGCCGCCCACAGAGGAGCGGCACCAGGGAGAAGGATGGATGGTGGAGAGCAGCACCTCAACCTTTGGCTGGTTCAGTGCAAGACCATCTCCAGAGGCCAGAGCCACCCCCGGCGTAGTGCAGAGAGAGGGACCTCACAGCCCTTCAGTCCATAAATGCACCGTACCCAATACCCGCCTTGTGACCAACGAGAACGAGATGAGGTGGCAGAAATTCATCGAGTCCCTTTTGGCTTCGCTCTGACCTAAACTGAGGCCTCATGGCTGAATCGGAGCTGGAGCTTATGGACCAAGAGCTCCTAACGTTGCACACTCGTATCTTCCAAGGAGCCAGGCCTAACCCCAACCCAGAGGTTCCTCACACTTGGTCACTGAGGGGGGTTGTTTTGTTTTAAATACTGCAGAGGTGTGACACTGCTCACTTGGCCTGTCAGGGTCTGGGGAAAGGCTGCTCCCCCAGACACTGGCCCAGACAACCCTTGGTTGAGCAGAGCCCCCCAACACCTCTTGCTCTGCCCCCTCCAACACCAGCAGCTTGGACAACAACCTGCATCCCAGACTGGAGAGGGATGCTCTCCCTGCCCGTCGCTTCTCCCTGCAGGTGTCCCACTACTGGACCTCCTGCTACTCCAGGGCTTGATAAACTTAAAACCACTGCACAAACACAATAAAAAAAATCCTCACGCTCAGGGCTCACTAAAAACGAAACACCCAGCAGCAGAAGCAGAGGAGAAACCTGCACTTTTCCTGCACACAGGCATCCAGCCTGAGCCTGCAGAATGACCAGGAGCACAGTCCAAGAGTCTCCAAGCAACCCAGCCTGAGTGTCACCCTGTCGTAGTAGCTCCATGGGTCACCCTCCAACGTCCCTTGCTGCCACCCAACTGCTCTTTGGAGCTGGCAGACCCCACGGGGAGGACGTGGCCACGTGTGGGATCGTTGGGGCAAGCACAGGCTCCCAACTTGGCCCCAAGAAACTCCACATATCGGCTTTGCTTTCACGTACACAGCTCCTCCATCGCAGCTCCCATGGTGTGCTCCGGAGACAGCAAATCCACAACACCCTGCACTACTGTTTTGCTCAGCAAGGAAAAATTCCAGCTCTTCAAGCTGCTTTGAATAAAAAGCACCATTAGCTAAGACGACAATAAGTATTTCTGTACTCCGTTTCCAGAAATACATCCCACCAGCCCAATGCATACACAAGTGCACATCACACGCCACAGTTTACTGCACTAGAAAATCACACTCAGCAACTCCAGAATCTGCTTCTCTGTAAAAGAGAAGGTTCTTTTGGCCTGCAGGCTTTTAATAATTTAGCTAGAAATTTCAATCAAGGCATTATGCAGTTTGGACTTTTGAGTTAGGCAGAGAGATGGCAACACATTGATTGAAACAAAACACACAACCCAAAGTAAGGTCACCGTGATGTCTTGCAGCTACAAAAAACCCCACACCACCAGTGCAGTACGATGAAGTTCTCTGTTGGCTACACTTAGCATCTACAGAAGGTCTCAAAATATTTCTCCCCCCCTCCATATTTTTTTTCCCCAGAAAAAAAAAAGCTCTTCTGGAGTTCTTTTTCTAGGAATCAGTGAACTCTAATGTGAATTTCTACAGAATGAGTCACATCTGTGTTTTAAGATGCCTTTCCCTTCCTCCATCCCCCAGGATAGGCCCTGCCAGCCAGAAGAGAACTTCATCTACAATCCACACAATGTGATTATAAAACATCAACCAAGTGATCAGCCATCATCACCACACGTCAAAGTCATCCTGTGAGCAGGAAACATACGAGATGCTTACGGTGTTACGATTAATCATGGGCAAAGGCCACAAAAACACAACAAGCATGGTCAAACCTAAGTCTAGAGCCGGCGGTGGCCGCAGGAGGGACTCGGGAGGACCGTCGCGGTGCAGGACTGCCACACTAGCCCACGTTCCTAACTACGTGGCACGACGCCACGCTGCCCCGGGAGCCAAAATTGCAAGACACAGAACAAAAGAGATGGTTACGGAGCCGTTGGCAGAGGAGACGCCGACTCGGCTTCTGCTTTTGCTGTGCAAAATGCGAAGGACAGAACAAAAGCAGCCTGGGTTTGGTGCAGTCCTGGGTGGAGACGCTCGAATGCATCAGGTAAGGCTGGAGGCTGCCAGTGCTCTTGGCTCCTGGGAGGTGCCGCCTGCTGGAAGAGTGGACCTTGTAAAACTTGCTGTCACCCAGCTGTCCCCATCGCAGCAACAGGGATGCCGGGGGCGAGCTGCACGGTGGGGAGCAGCAACCCCAAGGGCATCCAAGAGGAAAGGACAAGTCAGAAGGCCGAATGTCCCAAACCCCTTCCCAATGGCAAGGAAGAGGAATGATGTACTGAAGCCCTCTCCCTCATCCACAGCTCTATCTGGCAGAGTTCATCTCGGAGACACTTTAGATATTTTATTATTTTAGATCAGGTTTACACCTAACCTTCTCAGCTCTCCCCTATCCTGCAGAACTTCCTATACACGATCCATGAGCAGCACCTGCAAGCTGCACAGGTCTGGGAGAGCAGCATGGCAGGAGCTCCTGATGTCCTCAAGCTCTGCCAGCCATGTCAGGAGCTGCTTTTGCTGCTTCTGGACAGGTGGGAGACAACTGCAACCCTCTGCCAAGAGGGACACAGCATCACACAAACCCTTGGGAAACAAGGAGGGGCACAGGGCTCTTGGCAGCCTCACAGAGATCAGCACACAAATGCCACCGCCACGACCAGCCTTTTATTCCTTCAAGAATAATAGAAACAGAGCCCTTTGTGTCTGCCAGCGAAGGCACAAATTCTGGCATTTGACCCCAGGAATTTGGCCTCCATTTCCACTAGAGTTGACCCGTTAGCTGCTACAGGGACACCCACACTGCCACAACACGTGATGGCAGGGGGTGAAGGCTTCACTTGGTAGGTGGTGCTGCAGAACGAGCTGAGCATTGCCACAGCAGACT